TTTCATTCGCTCGATACACGCTATTGATAACCGCGAGCGAGCGAGCGAGCGAGCTCGCGATATCTTAGCAGATAGTCGGCAGTAACTTAACATCGCGGGCCCTCGATATGTTTGACGTCGAGTGCGACTCGCGAATATGTCAACACGACGCGCGTTGTTAGTTATCCCTTATTTGTCTACGATGGCAAAATTACTCGGCGCGTAAATTAGTATCCGTTTCCATTTAAACGGAGGGGTCGCTTAATTGATTTAATTGCGAGCGAGTTCCGCGAGTGACCCGCGCCCGCGCGCGGCGCATGTAACAACGCGACAATTATTCATTATTTTGGCGTTGCTTCACGCCGCTGAATCGTTTATGGCCGCGTAATTGCACCGGGCGTAAATTAATATCCGCGCAACGGCAGCGGCGGCGTGGATTAAACGCAGAAGACACGATTGCGAATACATTGCGAGCGCGTAGCCTTGAGGATGCCCACCTCGTTTCGCTATGCGCACACGCGCGTGTGTATGTGTGAGATCGTTATTGATTGATTATCACCAGTCGTCGCCGCCGCCGTGTGCGTAATCAGTCGCAGACGCGCGATCGCTCCGGTCAATGGATCGATACAATGCGTAAAGGTAGGTCCAGACTTGTGTCGCATCACCGTATCGTATCATGATCGTGAATCGTAATCGGCCAAGTGCGAACGAGGTTGTATCGTTTTTGCATATCGTACCTGCGTATTAAGGTGATACGCAGATATGATTCGATTACGATCAACTCGGAGTTAGTATTTAGTTTTTCACCCAGCATGCGTTTGTATCTTTAGTTCCACGTTACCTCCCGTAGGGATAATGTTTTTTCTTCATTTTTCTTCAATTACAATATTGTTTGCAGGCATAGGCCAGACGCGAAACATTGAATAATTTATTGTCGGAGGACAATACGCTCCCCCCTCCCGACTGTGGGCAGGAAAAACGGGTATATATATTATACACGAATAGAAAAGAAAGATTGACATTATGTGGTCGGCGGACAATTGGTCCCCCCCTCCCTCCCGACAGTGGGCAGAAAAAAACGTATATTATATATGCAATATATTGAATATAGACCAATTGCCCAAGCTAACTGGCTTGGGCAATGTGCCTCCATCGTCAATATCGCATAAACCAGTATTTTAATATAGGACATTCGTTTTACAGGAACAACCTACTTAGTGACCTAGTTCGCAAGCAGCTACGCTGGCCTACAACTAATCTATTGAAATTCCGCGACATACACACTCGATTACATGATCCTACGTGACATACACACCGATGACACATCCGGCCGGAGGAAGGACTTGTAAGACGCTGTATGCACAATTAAACCGGCAGCAGGTACGAAGATTACGCACTCGCCCTCTGCTTACAAGATAGCCGCGAATTATACGAATAGATAGAAAATAAGCTTATTGCCACTACAGTTTATTAAAGTGAAATCGTGTCAGTCGTTATAAAATATATCAGCCGTGAGCACGACGACGGAGGACATCCGTCGCCGCGCCCACAACAGTCAACATTCCACACGACCACACAACAAGCACATAAAGAGGTAGATAAAATAAATAATAAATAAATAAACATACAAATAATAATATACAAAAGATTCAGTCCGTCGTCTTAAAATACATTTTTCTTCATTATTTATTGAAGAAGAAAAGAAGGAAGACACGGCGTTGGTGGATAAAAACAATTTTTTTGAATCGCGAAGTATACAGCGACTCAAGTTTATTGCGTGACTTCAATCTGTTAGTGAACGGTATAAAAACTTCACAAGGATGTCGCCCACTGAGTTTGAGTTTACTTAATAAATTTGGTTGGAGAACAAATTTCTAAAAAAAAAAAACACCACATTTAGGAAAGCAATACCTGTGCAAGAAAGGTTAGCCACAACTTTACGCTTTTCGATGATTTTTATGCAAGTCTATCAGTTCAAAGTCTCCAAGCAGACAATCAATGAAATCATCCCCGAAGTTTCTTCTGCTTTCATTGATAAACTTAAGCACTGTATTCAGGTATGTATAATTCAAATATAGAGAAAACGTTTTTAATATTTTATCATGTGCAAACGCGCGCAACCAGTACGTGAATATCTAATTATAGTTAGAAATAGCTTGATGTTATACATGATAATTAGTAGAAGCAATACGCTATGTTTTATTTATTGCTTTGTATAGTTACTTAAAAAGACATTTTAAAGACATTTATTCTATTTAAAGCTATATATATTTTTGCAAACTCACTTGGGAAGCTCGTCACTATAGCGAAAAGAAAATATTGGATAAGAATATATATTCGATGTACACACTATGCCAATATTCCATCACCCTCATTTGTTACAACTACATACCAAGTTTTCCAAAAGTAACGGACCCCCTCCCCTATCTCAGAATCTATGCATTATAGGGAAAAATGACTCGAACAAAAGTTTTAGGATTCATAAAGTTCTGTTTTTTTGTTACCTCAAATTTGTTACCTCAAATTTCTAGTTACCTCAAATTACCTAGACTTCGACCTTAAAGGTCATTTGAAGGTCAACTTGCGGTTTTTAAATAGGAATTCTTATTTTTTATTACACTGTTTTTTCTACCAATTAATTTGAACAACTGTTGTCTAAAATATTTTTTTATTTGCTTAATATTTTTTGAGATATTTGAGGAAAACTTGATAACTTTTTCAACATTTAACTTATCAATTCAATATTTAACAATATCTCGCTATTTGTCGGAAGAAAAAGTGGTACTAGACTTTCTTGCTTTATTTAGTCTCAAGAATATATATTGTTACAATAGTGCTCTGATTTTTGTTAATTTGATGATTTTTAAATTTCCAAAAGTCAATAAGTTAACAAAAATTCTGAGATAGAAGGGAGTCCGTTACTTTTGGAAAACTTGGTATCATAATCATACATATATGTCAGGTTTCTCAGTTATTGCTACTGTCAGTTGGCGCTACTTCAGTTGGCGTCTTAATATATCGCTCCTTTGTACAATAAAACAATGTTTTTTTGTAGAGTGTTATTACAGTTATGAATTTTACTTGTAAAAACTTGTGTTAAGTATATATATCTTGAAAAAAAATAATAATTTGAGTTTGAGATTTCTAAAAATAACACAATACGTGTTGCGCGTGTATTTGGCGCTTTTTTTTATCTTTTTGTTTAGAAAGGTTTTATATTTTTACATGTATCTTGAAAAAAATAAGAAGTTTTATTTGCAGAAACTTATAAAGGGTGTCTCAAAATTCACGCAAGAAGTAATTTTGATAGAAAACACAGGTTTATAATTAAAAATTGTAAATTTTTTATTGATTCATAAAGTATAGAGTATAGGGTTATGTATGGAACAGCATATCAGGTAAATGGCCTCCACGGCTTTGTTGGCACATATGCACTCTTTTGTTGAAATTTTCCATGACCATTTTGCATAAATGTGGCTGAATTTCGTTGATACAGCGCTCAATTTCCTTCTTCAAGGCGTGGGTGGTCGTGGGCTTGTTGGCATAAACCTTAGACTTCAAAAAACCCCAAAGAAAAAAGTCCAACGGCGTTAAATCGCATGATCTGGGCGGCCTGATCTGATCACCAAAACGGGAAATTACACGACCAGGAAATGACTCATGCAGTAATTGAATTGTTTCTCGGGCTGTATGGCATGTGGCACCGTCTTGTTGAAACCACATGTCGTCCACATCCATATCTTGCAATTTAGGCACAAAAAACTGGATTATCATGTCGCGATAGCGAACACCATTAACTGTTATTGCCTGACCAGTCACATTTTCGAAGAAGAATGGTCCGATGATGCCTCGAGCCTCCAGTAAAATCCGCACCAAACAGTGACACGTTGTGGATGCATTTATTTCTCAATAATCACTCGTGGATCATCTGAACCCCAAATGCGACAATTTTGTCGATTAACCAAGCCATCAAGATGAAAATGAGCCTCATCGCTGAAGATGATTTTGTTCGAAAAATCAGCATCCACTTGTTGTTCCATAATCCATTCAACGAACTCTCTTCGCTGTGGCCGTTTACCCGATATGCTATTCCACACATAACCCTATACTGTATACTTTATGAATCAATAAACAATTTACAATTTTTAATTATAAACCTGTGTTTTCTATCAGAATTACTTCTTGCGTGAATTTTGGGACACCCTTTATATTACGTACATATATATCTTGAAAAAAAAAATAATTTGAATTTGGCACACATGTATTTTGAAAAAGAATAATTTGAGTTTGAGATTTCTAAAAATAACACAATACATGTTGCGCGTGTACTTGGTACTTGTTGTCTTTTTACCTTTTTGTTTAGAAAGATAAGTTTTATATTTTTACATGTATCTTGAAAAAAATAGTAAATTTTACTTGTAAAAACTTGTATGTTATATATCTTGAAAAGGAAATAATTTAAGTTTAGTATATATGTTGTATACACATATATCTTGAAGAAAAAAATTTGAATTTGGCATACATGTATCTTGAAATTAATTTCAACGACGAGCGCGGCAGATTGCTACAGTGAATACCCAATACATTCGTAGCGCGCAGCGAGTTTTTAATAGCAATTGTATCATTTTTCCCGACACGTATTTTGCTCGCGTCACTCAGGCGATGGACGAATAATTGCAACTCATGTCTTATCCTTCATATTAAATCTAGTAACGGAGATATTTGTGTTTCGTGATCACATCGATCGTTGAAATTTAGAATGTCAACAATTCTCTCCCGACACACACGCGCGTGTAAACATATTTATATTTCTTATATTAGTGCCTCTCGAATTAACACCGAGTGAACATTAATACTGAATTTGCAAGTAGACGTTTATATATCTCAGAGAGCTGAGCTGCCAAGTTTCGAGCATTGTTTACGAGTTAATCGTGCAAATAAAGTGATTATAAACATCAATTATACACACACACACACACACACACACACACACACACACACGTGCGCGCATACATGTCACGATGGGTGAAAGCAAGGTACTCAACAAGTTTCCCGAGCCACTCGCAGAGGAAAATTACAATCAATTTTTCAATCCCAATCTTTGTCACGTTTGCAAATCGTCGAATGGCGGCGCATTGATGCCGTGTAATCGGTGCTGCATGATCTTTTATTGTTGCAAGCAGCACAAGACCATGCATGAAGAGTCACACTCGCCGATGTGCGCAGCCATAGAGAGGTTCACATCGTTCAGACCGGAATGGAACACTCTTTGCTATAACTTAGAAGAGTGGACGAAATTCCGGAAGGCACTTATGACATTAATTCGATTGGAGATAAGACGCGACCTGAAATCCTACGAAGTAGAGATGCTCATGTGCGCAAAAGCGTGCCTGATTTGCAAACGACAGATTGATCTGCGCACTTGCATCGTGTGCTATTCCTCCAACTACTGTCGTGATCACGAGTTGGCCTTCACAATGCTGCACAAGCCACGCTGCGAGGGCCTGCTGTTATTACTGAACATAAATGTCGCCACGATGTACAGCAATATTTGTACTTCGTATCCTGCATTTCTCAAGTTCGCGCGATTCCCTGACAAGGCAGACTCCTTCCACGACATGAGGGCTTTCGTTAATGGTTACATAGTCCCCCGAAGTAACAGAAAAAACTTAACCTCCAAGTGGCGATTGAATTATTATGTGTATTCGGAGTATGTGTCGGGTCCGTTGACGTTGCATCATGCGTTTGAGGAACTATCCTCACTGTGTCTTCTGCAGATTGACCATAAATGTGTCGTCCATCTTGTAGCTCCGGATGTCGTAGATATAGAGGGCGCTCCAGCTTGGGAGCTCCTCTTGCATCTTTTAAATGTTATAAGCAGACTCTATGTTGTAATGATCAGACCAGACATTGATCTCATATCGGGCGAGCGGAACAATCTCTGTCGCAAATGCTCAGCACGCGGTCGGAAGCTTTACGTTGAAAATGTGTCAGAGTCGTATCAAGACTACGTGAGCTCGGCCTCGTACAAGCAGCCGAACGTCATCGTAGGATTTCAAGTGGAATTTAATGACAAAGTGACATGGCTGAAATCTCTATCAGCGATATTAGCTCAGAAGTGTCCGTTAATATTAACCACAAACTCGGAGAATCAGTCAATGGAGATCGTAGATAAAGTCTCAGCAGCCGCGGGCGTAACTAGGAAACTATTTCTTTTTATAAAAAATAAGTTCCAAGGTTGCAGACCTTATAGGGACTACGAGACTGGTGGGGTGTTTTACCGAAATTCCAACTTAATTATATTTTAACGACGATTCTAATCACATAAGCGCCCCGACCGAAGATTGACGTTGATTCGGGGTGTATGATTGCGCCCCAATTCATGAATATTATTGTAAATTATACACTGATTGGATAGTGTTGGACTTGGTTTCTTACCGAAGCATGTATTCAAGGACAGATAAATCGTCCTCCTTCCTGTCTCTCTATAAATGTGTAACACATTTCTACGTGCGACAGGAGAATGATTGCCGCACGCACAATATGTTATGCTGTTAGTCTGAACATTTTCGGTGCAGGAGAAATATTTGATACCAGCAACGGGCGTACGCCAGACTCTGTAATTCAAGTTGTACGTGCAATGATTTCGATGCACCTGAGGTGTTATATTTTTGCAACTCCTCGCAGGACGCCACATTCATAGTCAGGTTCATGCATACACACAGAACACAGTATGTAATTGTATTGTTCTTTTCTGAAGGAAAGACAATTCGGATGCACTGAGGCCATGCTCTGAGGCCCAGTGCATAATCTCGGTTTTGTAACAATTATGTAAGATGATCATGTAATATTATATTCATGTAAGATCTTTATAATAATTACGCAATTTTAATAATTACATAATTTTAATAATTATGTAAGATATACCATAGTAATTATTAAGAATTATGTAATATAAAATATACAATGTAGATACAACAATGTACAAAATAATAATTATGTAAGATCATGTAAGATCATGTAAGATACTCATAATCATGAAAAAATAATCATGTATGATTATATATTGTGATAATTATGTGATTTTAATAATTCTATAATTCTATAATTAATAATTCTATAATTTTAATAATTATGTAAGATATATTATGGTAATTATTAAGATTTTTATAATAAATAAAGTAAGGTAAAATATAGATACAAAAATGTAGAAAATGCATAAGATGTAGATGCACAAATGTTTAAGTGAAAATTCACGGGCGTTGATCGGTTTTTCAAACAGAGTTGTAACAATAATCATAAAAGGCATGATTGTCGATGTGATTGCATTAATTTTAGCGGCATATATATGATAAATTCAGTCTCTGTGAATAAATTATTAATTTTTTTACGTAACATGTCTTCGACAACAGCTGTATTATTATTTCCATCATCCGTTTCGTACAAGTGACGATTGAATAATTGCGATATATTTTCTATATATTATGTTCGCCATGCTGTGTATTTGCAGATATTCATAGTTTGTTATATAGTTCATTACAAGTATATGTATAAAGGATGGAAAAAAAAGTCGCATCTCCTGAATAACTTTGAAAATATGATAGAGAAAACTGTTAAACGCAAAAGTTGTAGGGTTTTAAATGACGCATCACATAGCAATACTACGAGTACGATTTAAACAGCGTTGTTCAACATTACGAGAAAGCCACTCTGAATTTTTTAAGTAGAAATCCCAATTTTTTATCATATCGATAATCTTTTTTCACCCATCAATTTAAACAACTTTTATCTAAAACATTTTTTATTCGCTTAATATATTTTGAGGTATCTAAAAGAAAACTTGGTAATTTTTTCAATATTTGGCCTACGATAAATATTTGGCAATATTTGTCGGGAGAAAATGTGGGATACTAGTCTTTTTTACTCTATTGGTCTTAAGAATATGCTGTTGCAATAGTGCCTTAATTTTTGTTAACATGATGGTTTTGAAATCTTCAAAGGTTAACATTTCTTTCCATCTTGCATATTTTGAAAGTTATTCCGGAAGTCCGACCTTCCTTCCTGACCCTATATATATATATATATATTATTGATAATAATATATTGAAGCTCCGTTTCCGAGAAAAATGGGGTTTAAAAGTCTGTTGTGTATGCGTAAACTTTTGACGGAAATTCAACAAATTCGATCAAGCCGCTGTTATAATTTTCTTCGAACGCGGTACAATGTTATGGCTTATTTACAACGAGGGTCATCGTACGTACCGTTGTATTGAGCCATCTAACATGGTGTATAGCCTAAATTACCAGTTTCACGATCAGTTTCAATCAAACGAGCAATGTGGCGCGATACGCTAATGAAGAGTATGCGGATACGGTCCGTGCATTAGGAGCATGTTACAGAAACACATCTGCTGCAGTAAATTATTATCATGAACGATATCCTAATCGTGGGCAGCCAGACGGGCGAGTTATTACGAAAGCGGATTGAATTCTTAGAGAGAATGCTTCCTTACTGGGCGACGAATTCGTGACAGCGCAGAAGATAGAATCCTTCGGGCAGTACGTATTGATCCACGCTTAAGCACAAGAAATCTTTCTTCTCGACCTGCTATCTGTGGATGTTCTTCGCCGTGTTCTTCACGACTGCAAGATGTGAGGTGCAGGCGGCCGCAAATCGGGATTTTGCGCTACGCTTAAGTTTCTGTCAGTGGTCGCTTCAGCAACGCGCTACTGATGCCGAATTATTTATCCCGGGTCTTATGGACTGACAAATCCAACCTTAGGCGGCATGGAACATTCAATGCTCACAATACAGCATTTTGACCGGAAGAAAATTCTTGCGTTGTGTCAGAAACGTAAAAGAAGAAAGATGAAGAATGTGAACGTGCGCGTTTTGAAACGGTAAAAAATAAAAATCGTAAGAAATGGAATCGTCGCATGTTTTGCCGAACAATTTATTAACGGATGCAACTTATCCGCGCATTTGTTATGCGATTAATTATCTATATTATTAGACAGTGTATTTTTGTCTGTTAGGAAAAATTTCTCTCAGCATGTTAAGTCCACAAGCCACTTTATTAGAGAAGTACTTCATCTTCTAAAAACGAGAAGCCTACTTGACATCTTTTAATTTAATTGCAACTTTTTATACGACAAAACGGCCAACGTCTTCAATAATAGGTATAATTGAATTAGAAGATAAATGTTTAAAAATAGTAATTTTATTGATCTTTTTCTTCAAGGATAAACTGAAAATTATTCCTCATAATAAACGAGTCTTGTATCGTATTTGAAGGAAATCACAACAGCAACTTGTGATGAAATTGAATCTGTCAAATTTCGGTGTATTGTACGTGTATTCAACAGATTTGTAAACTTATTTTTTTCCGAAACGCAGCTTCGTAAACGTATGTTCTTGAAGAAAAACAAACTTGCACTTGCAGGAAAACAACGCTATTTATTAAACGCTCGTATAGGTATGAAAAAAAATAATTATATAATTTTATGCATTATAATATATCACACACACACACACACACACACACACACATATACACACACACACACACACACACATATACACACACACACACGTGCACACGCAGACGCACACGCACACGGACACGCACACACACACACACACACACACACATTAATTGTAATTTTAACATATAAATATATTAATTGTAATTATCTTCCTTCTCTTTATTATTTTATTCGTTATTATTATTATTATTATCATTATCTTGTCTCACATGATTTAAATGCTACGAGCGCACACTTGATTCCGATGTAAACAATGGTAAATCGCGTTTACGATAGATAGAAAATTGTGCCACACTCGCGACGCTTCTTAAGAGACATCGCGTCGGCAACGCACAATTTCATAAATCGCGCATCTCTAGTTACAAGTCCCAAAGAGCGCGCAAAAATAAGCAGCTGGAAACCAACGCCCTCCGAGCGCGTGCTCAATAGAGAGAGAGAGAGAGAGAGAGAGAGAGAGAGAGAGAGAGAGAGAGAGAGAGAGAGAGGGAGGGAGGGAGGGGGGAGAGAGAGAGAGAGAGAGAGAGAGAGAGAGAGAGAGAGGCCGGGTTTCACAGAAAAGTTTCGCGCGGGCCTCCCATGCCCGTTATCTATCACTCGAATAAACGCCGATGATACGTCAGCTCAGTGAATCATTATTATCCATCATACCGACGAAAGATTCGGCCGTGCGATATTACGTCGAATCCATCTATCATTACCATCTATCAAGCGGCAAGAATCCAGCTGTCGCGCTGTGCGGCGCGAACGAGCGACAGCGAGAGGGAAAGAATCGGCGAGGGAAAGAGAGGTAGAGAGGTAGAGAGGTAGAGACAGAGACAGAGACAGAGAGAGAGAGAGAGAGAGAGAGAGAGAGAGAGAGAGAGAGAGAGAGAGAGAGGACACGAAGAAGGCGCAGAGGCAGAAAGAGAGAGAGAAGAGAGACAAAAAAAAGAGGAGAAAATAAAGAGAAAGAGCGGTGACAGGAGAGAGCGGATGGAATAGATAAATATCGGGTGACTCATTACGCGAAGCGCTGTTGGACATAAGTGTCGTTCGTTAGGCCTAATTGCCCTGTCGCGGTAATTAAACTCTCGGGCCGCGGGCGTGTCAGCCGGCTTTTTAATTTATTTCCCAAAAACGCGCGCGTTACTTTGGACTTCTCTAACGACGAGTGCACGGCGAGAAACAGGAACGGTACGGGACAGAGCGAGAGAGTGAGGGAGAGACAGGCAAAGGGACGGCAGGATGTAGCTCGTAGAGGGACGTTTAATTTGTGCGTCGAAATCGAAGTCGCGTTGTCGCTCGGGATTTTCCCATGGCGTTTCCACCACGATCTCCGGCGCCATTAGCTTTCTCCGTTAATGAATCGGTTTAATTATTCCCATGCTGACCGACCGCTCGTAGCGCACGTCGTCGGGTCCGTCCGATTGTAGCTTCACGAGGCGCACGTTCTGGGGGAAACTCCGGGATCCCGCGTCATTACGGCATCGGCGGGCATTAATCGATTGAAAAACGTTGCTCGGCCGAAATGACGAAACCGAACGATCGAAAGAATCGTGATCGCGGCTGTTTTTGAATTTGCGTGTGTATACGTGCACGTAGAACTGGTTCAACCGAGTGGAAAGGTCCTTCTTCCATCTCGCAAATCACCGCGGTAATTACTGAGATTTCGCGATGCACGCCTCTCGTCCAATGCAACCCAGCCGCCATTACCGGGAAATTGTCAACGGATTTGGAAATGAATCTTGAGACTCTGCTCTCTCCAAGAATTCGTCCCACCGTC